AAGAGTGGTTCAACAGAAGGTGGCACCATATTGAGAAGACCCCATATTCATATTCAGCTGATATGAGTGAGTATAACAGTAGAGGTTTAAAGAAATGTTTATACATTTCCATACCTATTAGTTAACTTCTGCCCTAAGCCCCCCTGTGTAACCCCACCCTGGGCTTCTCTGGTCCTTTCTTGAGACCCCCTCCACTCATCTCTCTATGACCCAGCAACTAGAAGGTTAATCCCTGACATAGCAAGGGTCCTTCATGTATTTCTGCTCTTATCTTTAATATTTCCATTCTTCTTCTTTCTTTAGAATTAATTTATTTGTCTTCCTCTAGTATCTTGAGTTGGAAGCCTAGATGGTTGATGTTTAACCTTTCTTCTTTTCAAAAATATGCATGTCACTATAAATTTCCCTCTAAGATCTGCTTTAGCTGCATCCCACAAATTTTGGTACATCATATTTTATTATGACTTACTATAAACTATTTTATAATTTATTTTATAACATCTTATAAATGTTAGTTCTTTAACTCATGGGTTATTTAAAATGTGTTCCTTAATTTGGAAACATTTGAGGACTTCTAATTATCAATCTTTTGTTGGTTTCTAGTTTAATTCCACTGTGCTCAAAATACACATCTGTGTGATTTCAATCCTTTGAAATTTGTTGAAACTTGATTTTGGCCCAGCATGTGGCTTATTTTGGTGAATATTCTATGCAGACTTGAAGAAAGTGTGTATTTTCTGGTTGTTGAGAATAGAGTGTAGAACTTACCCTTAGAATGTGCCTCTTCTGGGGTTTTGACTGAAAGCCTGGACTATTTACTCATTCCCCTCAACTTTACTAGGCTCAAACTTCAATCTCTGTTGCCCCAGCACTGTGTAGCTGTTGAAATATTGCTCAGCTGAGTAGACTTTCAACACCTGTTCTCTGCTGGATACTCTGACAACCTGCCCTACAGTTGTAGTCAGCCTTTAAGATGGTCCCAATGATCCCTGATTCCTAGTAATCATATTCTTGTATAACTCCCCTCTCCTTGAGTGTGGACTAGACTTACTGACTCACCTCTAAAGAATAAAACATGGCAGAAGTGGTGGGAGTGTCACTTCTGATATTAGGCCATAAAAAGTCCATAGCTTTCATACCGAGTTCTCGTGCTCTCTCTCATCACTTACCCTGGTGGAAACCAGCTGCCATAATGGGAAGCAGCCAGGTGGAGAATCCCACATGGGGAAAGACCAAGGTCACCAAGAACCATGTCAGTGAGCTTAGAGGCAGATTCCTCTCCCTACCATGAAAGCCTTCAGATGAAACCACAGCCCCAACTGATACTTTGACTGCAACCTTGTGAGAGACCTTGAGCCAATGACACTTGCTGCACCTGGATTCCTGACCTACAGAAACTGTGAGATGATAAATGTTTGTTGTTTTAAGCCATAAAGTTTTAGCATAAATTGGTATTCAGCAAGAGATAACTAATGCAGAGAGAAATGGAGAGAAGTAGATGGATTCAGGAATTTTTGGGTTTGGGGAATTTTTGTTTTTGTTCTTGAGAACATGCTAACAGGACCTACTAGATGGGCTTAGAATGGGTATAATGGAAAATGAGAAATAAAGAATTACTCTTGTGGTTTTAGCTTGAACAGTTAAGTGAATAGTAATGCCATTTACTAAGATTGAGAAATTTAAAAGAAAATCAGTAACCATGTAGAAATGTCAAGTAGTAGTTAGATATACAACTCTGGAGTTCTGGGGATAAAGGGCTAGAAATCAGATTTGGGATAATAATAGTATCAAGCTCACTAGTTGTGAGCATTAGGTGAGATGATGCAGATTAAACTCTTTGCACAGTGTGAATAGTTGTTATCTGTAATGGGTAGAATTGTGTCCCTCAGAAAGATATGCTCAAGTCATAGTCCTGGTACCTGTGAATGTGACCTTGTTTGTAAATAGGATCTTTGCAGATGCAGTTAGTTAAGATGAAGTCATACTGGATTAAAGTGGACCCTAATTCAATGACTAATGTCCTTATAAGAAGAGAAAACAGACATCCAGATACACACAGAGAGGAGAATGTCATCTGAAGACAGAGACAGAGATAGGAGTGATGTAGCTACAAGCCAAGGAATCACCTTAGAACCACCAGAAGCTAGGAGAGAAGCATGGGATGGTTTATTCCTCAAAACTTCTAGAAGGAATCAACTCTGCCAACACATTGATTTCTGACTTCTAGCCTCCAGAACGTTGAGAGAATAAATTTCTGTTGTTTTAAACCACAGTTTGTAGTAATTTGTTACAGCAACCCTAGGAAAATAATAGTGTCCAAATAAATGTGTAATGTGAGTAGTTATCATGGCTTCTGTTATTCATATGGTATGACTGTTGTTGTTGTTATATGTCCAAACACCTAACACATTGCTTTGCATACAGTAGGAACTCAGTTCATAATTGTGGTAGAATAAGAGATCTGTGATTTCTGCTTTTGGACAGCACTCTCTGAAAGCCATACTTGGGAACAGCCTCTCCTGAGGGCTCGATCTGTGTGGTGTTGGCTAGTACTCAAGGCCTGGCATACCTCAGGAGCATGTGGCCCTCCCAGTCCAACAAGGAAGAAAATGTCACTGTAGGGCCTAAACGTGATTTTAGGGAAACTTGGCAAAACCCTCTTCTCTTCCTTTGCTTCCAATCTCAGTGTGTGATAAGCCATCGTTGGACATTATTTCTTCTTTGGCACTTAAATTTTTTTACACGAAGAATTAGAAAAGGAATAAAAGTCCAGATGTTCCCAAACTTGGGGGAAAATTAGTATCACCTGGAAGAATGTGTTTAAAATGTAGATTCTTGGGCCCCTTTCCAACTCCACTGAGAATCAGAATCTCTGGGGCCAGCATGGGGCTGGGAGGAGGGCTGCAACCTATATTTCTAGCAAGCTGCCCAGCTGACGCTGATGTCGCCTGCTCAGTACCTATTCTCAGAATATTTGAAAACCACATTTCCTTCTATATAAAAATGAGGAAACTGAGGCAAAGAGCTTTCAGGGTATGCCCTAGGCTACCTTGTTTTTCAACATCACCTCGAAATATTAAAAAGAAAAACACACACTTTTTTTTGAGGAAGATTAGCCCTGAGCTAACGTCTGTTGCCAATCTTCCTCTTTTGCTGAGGAAGATTGGCCCTGGGCTAACATCCATGCCCATCTTCCTCTACTTTATATGGGAGGCAGCCACAGAACGGCTTTGATAAGCGGTGGGTAGGTCTGCACCCGGACCTGAACCTATGAACCCCGGGCTGGAGAAGCAGAGTGCCAGAACTTACTCGCTACACCACCCAGCCTGCCCCCTAAAAATTTTTTTTTCTTAGTAAAGGAGAGAGAAAAATTTCATGGAGAAAGAACTAGTAAAAAAGTGAACGTTGAGGTTGAAGGTGAGGCTACTAAAACAAGGATAAGCGGTATCCACATAAGCAGCCTGTGTATTGGGAAGGCTATCAGGGCAGGGCTGAGCTTCTCCAGATAAAACTGTTGGAAAGACGTGGTTTGGTTTGGATTTTGGTTTTATCAGAGCCCTGGCGCCCTCTAGCGGGAAGGCTGAGCAGTCCAGCGTCTGTACCGAAGCGTGTTCTCACTTTGAAACTGTGTTCTCGCTTTGGAATCAAGATTGTTTCCCTTCATATGTTTTGGGTACCATGTCTCTTTTTTCACTGATTTTTCTATCTCTTCCGCTTTAAAGTCATAGCCTCCTCATCTCTATAAGTAAAGTCGCAAGCTCTGCATTACCCCAGGTCTGAGGACAACTATGCTTAAGATACTTTTGTTTCAGTTAGTCCCAGACAGTGAGGAAACATTTCAAATCTCTTAAATCCAACCTAAAAAGTGCAATTTACACTAGAGCAGTTGCGCTGGCATTTAAATAAACTGCAATTTGAGAAGTAATTCAAATGGTTTACACTAGTTCCCCCTGCCCAAAAGAACTTAGAAGATTCCTTAGAATTTACTTCCATTGGTCTGAAAACACCTGGCAAAGAGTTCTGATTATAATAGTAGTGGAAATAGGGGGGCTGGTGGTCCCAAAACAACCCTCTGGGATCTTCTATTCCAACTGCATCAAGGTAAAGACAGGGCGAGTTTATGTGAGGAAACAATTTGTTGAAGAGCTTTGCGCTGAGAGCTAGACAGGTGGTATCTAATGTCTGTGAAGTCGGCTCACCAGTTATATGCTCCGCTTAGCTCCAGTTCTCAGAATATACCAAAGCAGAGAGCAACGCTTGAACCGAGAGTTCTGCTATGTGAAGACCTTTGAAAATCCTGACAATCACAGACACCAATTAAAGTGGTCAGCTAATTAAAACAAGCAAAATGGAACTTGAGTTTGTGTATTCAGTTAGAGCCCATTATCTCATTTAGGACCTGGGCATGAAGAGAGGACACTATCATTGCTTTTAAAAAGAAAAATGGGCAGGATATTGTGTAGTTTTAGAACCATCCTTCATCAAATGGGATAATTTCAAAGATCAAGTGGAAGTAAGAAAAAATCTAATAGTTATGTTTAGGAATAAGAAAGGAAAAGAGATCTCAAATCAATGCAGACTTTCTCCAGCAAATAGGAAAATAAAGGGTTATGACTATTTCCTTCTGAAACTTTGAAGGGGAAAAAGGGTGTTGGCCGGCGGCCCCGCATGCTGCCCACCTCTCTTTCCTCCCCCGCGGCGGGCGCGGAGAAGTTCAGCACCTCGGAAAGCGCCCCCTGTCTCCTCGAGGAGTTTACGCATGCTCTTTGGGAGTCCACAGCCTCGGCTTTGCGAGTATAACTCCGCGAGCGTCTTGCGAATATAACTCGGGTGAGCGTCGCTGGTAACTCACTGGGAGTTGACAACAACGGAGAGACGAGACATGAGGCAGCGAGAACGACATCGAAAGACCTCCAGAGAGTCAGAGCGAGGTAGACGGAGCTCTCCTATCTTTTTCCTTCAGAGGACAGAAATCTCGCCCAAGAGGAAACCGACAAAGGTATTTGAAAGAGAGGGAGCGGGCGCCCAGCAGCGGTCCTGAGAGGCCGGGTGGGTTATGCGCTAGTGCCCAAATGACAGCGGGAAACGCAGCGGTGCAAGTCAGAGTCGTACAGTAGAGATCCCGAGACTCCGACCTTGGCGGGATAACTCTTGCACGCTGACCGTTCGCTTTAGGAGCTGCGCTCCTCTGCTCTCTAACTCCCCTCCAGAGTAGACGCTGAGCGCAACTCCCGCACGCCTGGGATGCGCTTGGCACCCAGTTCCTAGGCTCTATCTTCAGGGGCTGCTTTGAAAGCTCCCACACACCCTGCGCCCTCACCCCGGACAGAAGCCCGGGCGGGCCGGACTCTCTTAGCTCTTGTCCCCAGAACACGACCTAGAGGCACCTGCGCATGCAGGTGGCCGCTTTAGCCACGATAGCCACCATGAACAAGGCGGCTGGCGGGGACCAGCTCGCAGAACTCTTCCGTCCGAGCCCGAACCTTCTGCAGGCGGCCAACACCAGCGGCAACGCGTCGCTGCAGCTCCAGGACTTGTGGTGGGGGCTGGGGCTAGAGTTGCCGGACGGCGCCGCGCCAGGACATCCCCCGGGTAGCGGCGGGGCGGAGAGCGCGGACACCGAGGCCCGGGTGCGGATCCTCATCAGCGTGGTGTACTGGGTGGTTTGCGCGTTGGGGCTGGCGGGCAACCTGCTGGTGCTCTACCTGATGAAGAGTAAGCAGGGCTGGCGCAAGTCCTCCATCAACCTCTTTGTCACCAACTTGGCGCTGACAGACTTTCAGTTCGTGCTCACTCTGCCCTTCTGGGCAGTGGAGAACGCTCTCGACTTCAAATGGCCCTTCGGCAAGGCCATGTGTAAGATCGTATCCATAGTGACGTCCATGAACATGTACGCTAGCGTCTTCTTCCTTACCGCCATGAGCGTGACGCGATACCACTCGGTGGCCTCAGCTCTTAAGAGCCACCGGACCCGAGGGCACGGCCGGGGAGACTGCTGCGGCCAGAGCCTGGAGGACAGCTGCTGCTTCTCCGCCAAGGCGGTGTGCCTGTTGATCTGGGCCTCGGCTGCTCTGGCCTCGCTGCCCAATGCCATCTTCTCCACCACGATCAAGGTGATGGGCGAGGAGCTGTGCCTGGTGCGCTTTCCGGAGAAGTTGCTGGGCGGTGACAGGCAGTTCTGGCTGGGCCTCTACCATTTGCAGAAGGTGCTGCTAGGCTTCGTGCTGCCGCTGGGCATCATTAGCCTGTGCTATCTGCTGCTGGTGCGCTTCATCTCCGACCGCCGTGTGGCAGGGACAGAAGGAGGCCCCTCAGCGGCTGGGGGAGGCCTGGCTGGACCCAGCGCCCGGAGACGGTCTAAGGTCACCAAATCAGTGACCATCGTGGTCCTATCCTTCTTCCTGTGTTGGCTGCCCAACCAGGCGCTCACCACCTGGAGCATCCTCATCAAGTTCAACGCAGCGCCCTTCAGCCAAGAGTACTTCCTGTGCCAGGTATATGCGTTCCCAGTGAGTGTGTGCCTGGCTCACTCCAACAGCTGCCTCAACCCCATCCTTTACTGCCTTGTGCGCCGCGAGTTCCGCAAGGCGCTCAAGAACTTGCTGTGGCGCATCGCGTCGCCTTCGCTCACCAGCATGCGCCCTTTCACCGCCACCACTAAGCCGGAGCCCGAGGATCAGGGGCTGCAGGCCCTGGCTCCCCTCCACCCGGCAGCGGAGCCGGACCTGCCCTTCTACCCGCCTGGCGTGGTGGTCTACAGTGGGGGGCGCTACGACCTGCTGCCCAGCAGCTCCGCCCACTGACGCAGGCTGAGGCCCAATGTGCGCAAACACTGCAAAGTGGTCTTCTCCGGGCGGGAAAAGAGGAGAGCCGAGTAGGGGATGCTGGGGGCCCCCCGGATCAAGGGGTAGGAGGGACAAGAATGCGGAGAAGTGCAGAGGACAGCCTGTGAAACGGCCGAAGGACTCTCTCAGGAGAGGAGAGGCTGTGAAACCGGGTGGAGAGAGGAAGCTGGCAAAGGGGTGGAGATCAGCCTCATAGGGCCAGGCCGCCAGCCTCTGTCCCACTTCCCTCCACACACACTCCTTCCTCTTTCTACTCTCTCAACGCTGGGCAGTGTGGGAGCGCCCAGAAGTGCGGAGAGGCATTAGGAATGTAGAGAATTGGGGCTCGAGGAAGCGGGACTCAGCCAAATGGTGCGCAGTTGAGCGCATTTATTCCAGCGATTTTTATGGAGACCTTGAAAGGGTCCTCAAGGTGCATCCAGGCGGGACAGCCGCCCGCAAAACCTTTCCTTTGCGCCTTGGCCCGCGATTCTGCCGCAGGGCAAAGGTCTGACTTGATGCGTGGCTGCGCCAGGAGCCTAGAGTTTGGGACCAAGAAACTTTTTCCGAGTTCAGAGAAAGGAGTGACAATCTTGGTCCGCCCTTCGGAGAAATGCACCGCGAGAGAGACACCTCCCATGGAGCCATTGTGTCGTTTATCGTCCCAGACTGTACCAGTGGGCACATGGGGAGCCCTACTTCGACTGTGCACGGCCTTTGTGCTCAGATGTCACCGGGGGCAAAACACTTGTCTCCAGCGAGCGAGAGCGATTCTCTGAGGAGTGGCGTCACTGCGGGAGGGAGCGGATGCATCATGATTAGAGAAGCTGGATAGAGAGACCTCCTTAGGCTACTACACCTAAAGGAAAAAAGGATCTCACTTGGTAACCGATCAGGAAGTGAGTGCACCGTGCGCTGGAAGGCTGCGCGCCCCGGTTGCCCTGAGAGCGATGTGGGTGCCTCGAGACACTGCGCGCTCTGGTCTGTGCACTGCAGGTGAGCTGTGCCCAGGAGCAACTTGAAAAGGTCTGAGTAGACAGCTGCTGGGAGTGGGGACTTTTCTGCAGTCTTTCCCCCTTCACTCTTTGGGAATCGGGGTGCCCATTTGATTGAGGCTCTGGACTAGCGTGGAGTGGGGTGGCTGCACCATGTTTTTTGTAGGCTTATACAGGAGATTAAGAAGTGCTGTAGAAATGAGCAGGGGGTTCCTGAAAACCAGATTCCTAGAAGCTGGAGTCTGATCTTTCAAGAGGAGGTATGGGGAGAGAAAGGGGATGCAAGACTCAAGTAAAATCTGTCCTAAAGGGAAGAGAGTATCCACCAACAGCCTGTTCTGAGGGGATCACCAGAATTTCAGGTGTGGGTTTATTGCTCATAATATTCACAAGAGAAAGTGGGGAACAAGAATCCCCATAGGACACTTCCTTAGCCAAATTTCGTTTATCCTAAAGAGTGCTCTGCATGTTGAGCCTGCATGATGAATTATTTCTTAATCCCCAGACATTCTATGAGACCATCTCTGGAAAGTGATACATTCTCATGACAACTCTGTTCTGGTCACAGCAGTTTAGTCCTTTCTTGAGGCTGCTCGGAGGACTGAGACCAAACATCAGTGAACCCATCGACCTGCCAGCTTTGACAGAGGTGTACTGTTCTCTTTGGCAACCTAGTTTAGGGTCCAAAAAAAATGCCATGTGGGCACCTACCAGTGTGGTTATTTTAAGACAATAAATAATCATTATACAAACATGTCTGCTTACATAGCCTCTTGAACTGTAAACTGTTTTGTAATTTTGTTTGAAATTTCCCGTAGTGTCTGAGATTTAAGGCTCAGAATGTGAGACCTCCAGCCCCAGCATCCCTTATCTGGCTCTCTGTAACACAACACAGTGCAATTACTAAATACTCATGCTTTGCCACTAAAACCAAAGCTGCCTGACCTCCTCAATCCTGAGCAGTCTCGACAAGTCAGCTTTTTGAGAAAACAGAATAATGCTTTTGTTTTAAAGTAGTCAAATTAGTCTCTCTTTGCCCTTCGGAAAGAAAACTTTTTGATATTGAATAGCAGTTGTGCTAACAAAGATTGAAATGCAAGCCCCCAAGTCCCCAAAATACAAAATAAATCAACAAGTAAACACCCAGAAAGAACAAATGATGGCATGGAAGTGTCTTCGTGTATAACGCTGATATTAGACTCTTACTGAGAGATTCTCTTTGTTCAAGCAACTTACCATTCCAGTTTTGACGATAAAATAATGTGTGGGTAGCTCAGGAGTCTTAGGAGAGTGTGTTGAAGTGCGTGCTTCTGCTATGATGGGCACTAGAAAAACAGAAGGGTCTGGGGGTGAGGCCTTCATAAAATAACTCTACAAAAAGGGACAGCTTGTCTCCGTCTAAACCCGAGGGCTTCTGGGAACATGGCTTGAGGGAGCAAAGACCATGACTTCTGTCTGCCACAAGGACAAAGGAATCAACAAGGAAGTGGTCAAATCAGTTGAAATCAACAATTTATTTTTTGACTGCCTGTTGTGTGCCAAGCCCTGTACTGGGTGCTGCGATCACATACATGAACCAGAGGCATTCCTGACTTCCACATTTAAAGGAGATACAGGGGCCGGCCCAGTGGCTTAGCGGTTAAGTGCGCGCGCTCTGCTGCTGGCGGCCCGGGTTCAGAACCCCGGGCGCACACCGACGCACTGCTTGTCCGGCCATGCTGAGGTGGCGTCCCACATACAGCAACTAGAAGGATGTGCAACTATGACATACAACTATCTACTGGGGCTTTGGGAAGAAAAAGGGAAAACAAGGAGGAGTATTGGCAATAGATGTTAGCTCAGGGCCGGTCTTCCTCAGCAAAAAGAGGAGGATTGGCATGGATGTTAGCTCAGGGCTGATCTTCCTCAAAAAAAAAAAAATTTGTTAAAAAAAAAAAAAGGAGATGCAGCCATGTACACAAGGCAAATAAGTCATGGAACAATGAGTTGAATGTCATAGTTAGGGCTAAAAGAAGATGCTATGGGAATACAGGGGATGGAAAGCTCGGTTCTGCTGCGGGATCAGAGACTTCCTGGTCAAAGTAGTATTTGAGACGGACCTAGAAATATGGGTACAATTTAGACAAGCAGAAATGGCAAGTTAGACAGGGGATGTAGAGAGAAAATTTGAAGCTGAGGAAATGCAGTGATCAAAAAGGCTTTGAAGTTGGAATGTCAGGTACATGGTAGGGGAAGCAAAGCTGAGTGGCTTTTCTTTCTCCTGCAGGCTTTACCAGCATTTCTATTAAGTTTTAGGTGTCCCTGCACTTATTTGTCTGGCAATGGGACATTTTGTCCCAGAGACAACATGTCATTGGTATACTAAGAACAAGCACTCGGGTTCCCAAAGGTGGTTAAAGCCTTTTTAAATTGAATTAATGGAGTTAAGTTAAATGAGTAAAGTATTTGAATATTTGAGTGTATGTGTGGTGGGAGGAAAATATGCATGCTCTAGCTCTCTTCCTCAACCTTCATCTAGGGTTCCATCTGAAAAGAGTTTCACTTACAATAAAGACCATGCCCTGTGGTTGGCCAGAGATGACTGCTTTTGACTTCTTAGGGGTCCAGTAAGACAGCCCTCAGCTTGGGGCGACCCTTCCAGATCACCTAGTCATTCATTTCAAAATCTTCAACCACCAGAACAGTCCTTGGAGAAATGATCATGAAATAAACATTGAACTCTGCAAATGATGCCCTTTCTAAACATTGCAGAGACCAAGACAGGTGGGCGAAGCAAGAGAGGTGGCTCAGTGCTGTTTCTTTCATAATGCTGAGTGCTGTGTCCTCTGAGCATTTGCTCACCATCACCCACGCTATGGGGCTGGGAGCAGGTGTTTGACCTGATTGCTCCTTTAGGTCAGTCATGACCTTGCTTCTCTGGGATGGATGTGAAGAAGAGAGGGAGAAAGGCAGCCTGGGGAAGATGCAGTAGTTTTGCATGTGACCCCCCAAAAGAATGAGATGACTTCATTTGGGAATGAATATACCAATACAATACAGAGGGACCTGATCGGGGGCAGAAAATGAGAAGTGCCATGTGGAGAGGTAGACAGCAAGGCTCAGAGGTTGATAAGTGAAACAACAGCACACTCAGGCCTGAGAAGACAGACCAGCTGGGTCTGGAAAGAATCAGGGATCTGGAGAATTTGGGATAAACTGCAGGAGCCTGGAGTGCCTGGTGCCAGATAGAGAAGCTGTGTGTTCTGCAGGTGCCACTGCTGTGCGAACAGTGGGCAGGAAAGAGCGAGCACTTCAGTGTAAGCCCCCTGTCCTCCACGCCACCCCCCCACATACACACGCAAACTTGAAGTAGCCAGATCCACAGGATGCTCCAGAAGTACCCCCACACCCTAGCACTCCCAGTCACAGGTGTGATAACCCAGTAGCAGCACAGAGCGGGCTCTTGAAACAAAAAGGAGGCAATCAAGAGAATTGCAGCAGAAGCCCGGGAGCCGAAGCACTGGCAACGGGAGAAAGAGTGTGAGACGACAGAGCTTGAGACCACTGGAGGACAGGGAAGGAGAGGGAGGCTGCAACACAAGGACAATGGATCTGCTCTCTGGCTATGCTCTCAGGCTGGTTCTCTTCAGTACTGCCCTTAGACTGGGCAGCCAGGGCCACTGCCTTGGGTCTGATTATTAGACGGCTCTGCTCTACCCTCACCTCCCAACTACGCCCCTCCCCACACGGCCAGGAATCCACAGAGTGCCTGGAGCCTGTGCCCAGGCCCCCTTACCTTCTAGATTATGCTCCAGTACCTGAGCCTTCAGAATTCCCATCCAAATGGTCCTGGGTCTATTTACAAGGCATTCGTAGATCGTTGCCTGGGTCCATCCTCCAGAGGGCAGACCGTACTGCTGAGTCTATGCACTCTTAGGTGTGAGGGGTGGCTGAGGGTGGCTGTTTGCAGGCATCGTAGAGGGTGAGGGGTTGGGGAGGCATGGATGTGCCAGCTGACACCAAAATGCACACAAGGGCTCTCTCAGTGCTGGGCAGAGCTAAGAGTGGGAGGAGGAGGGCGGTGTG